TCCCAGACGTGCTGGATTGGGTTCAGGTCTGGACTTCACGCTGGCCACTGGTGCACAATTAATGCAGTGTGAGCGCGAGCGTTATCATTATTGTGCATTAAAGTGAACCTCATGGACCACATGCTCTTTCAGGATCTCTGTGACGTACCGGTGAGCAGTCAGCGATCCTTGCCCGCGAGCATCTCCAGTCCGGGAGACGCTTACAAGGCCAGTTTTGCCGTCGGCCGACATGCCGCCCCAAAACATACAGGAATCGCCCCCGTATTCCACCATCCCCTGGATGCAGGCTTGGGCGAAGCGTTCCCCCTGTCTCTTGTACACTCTTCTGAGTCTATCGTTGCAGAAAAGGCATACTCTCGTCTCGTCTGAGAAGAAAACAGCTCCATTGATGAAGGGTCTGACGTCGTCGCGAGCAATCTAAAAGCGGGTTCGCTGATGTTCTGCTGTTAATTTTGGACACAAAGCAGCCGCTGCCGCATCCCTAATTGCAGTAGTGCAATCACTTGAGCGGCTTCATCAGCATGAAGCAGCATCTATCTTCAAGGTGTTTTTTTTGTAAAAGACCTTCTCGTGTGTCCTCTTTAGCGGTTGGATAGCAAATAACCACCATTGAACCTGTATTCACCCTTTTATACCCACTAAAGGTAGCGAAACTAGTGGAACTTAGAAGGAGCAAAATTGACATTTTTTTTAAAGTCACATTTACCACAAATGTGACTTAAATGGCAATTTTCTTTCTATTAAGCTTTTTTTTAATGATATGAAATGGGTTTTTTATATTTATTTAATGGGCCTTCCAATGACATTAATATTGGTCGGGGTACAAGCACGTGTAAAGGGTTAATAACGCTTGAAAGTTATTTTCGCGGAGGTGCAATTATTTGACGCAGAGTGTAGGTCCCTATTTTTTGAATGCATAAGTGTGGCAGAACGACAGGGTGACCGAGGACGCTCCTAGAAGCCGGTGAGTCCAAGGAAACTACTGTGCTTCTGGAAGGAACTGGATTGGCTGTGTTAGTTCAACGGCCCTGCAAGCACAATGGACGATGAACCAATCACGGAGTCTTCGAAACAGGGACTCACTACAAGTAAGCAATAAATATTCTTGATGGAGCCCCATTGAAGAAGCTTGGTCGTAGCGTTTTGCCATTTTATATTAGTACAAAAATGCTTTATAGTATTTTTCGCTACGCGACCTTAAGCCTTCTTATGAGACCTCAATAAACGAGCTCGCTTCGCTTCCGTAGGTTATCACTGGCAACACAAACTGGTCAAAGAGTATTTGTCTTGAGTCAATGAGGTAATTTGGACGCTGAGGTAATTTAGTTTCCCGAACGCTGCCCAAACTGGATACGACGCGAGATCTCTTTCTCAAAGTTAGACTTACCTAACTGGGCTGTCAGTCCCAGGTAAACGTATAGGTCGACAACTTCGGATGCAGTATTCCCAAAAACTGGAGCGGGATTACTGGGCATTCGGCATATTTTTGTCTTATCCATGTTCATCTTAAGACCCACTCTTTGGGAAGCACTACTAAGGTTTTTGAGCATCGTGTGAAAATCTTCTAATGTCTCAGCCATAAGTTCTAAACCATTACCGGCGAAATGAAAGTGTGAAAGGTACACGCCATTAATGTGTCCCCCCCGTCCTTTCTAAAAAGGGAAGAAGGATGCATTCTTTAGGTAGGTAGGTATGTGGGCGGAATACTGTTTCGCTATATTTAGTAGTATCGAAAAATAAGGAAGGCGGTTGGCTGACGTGTGTGTCTTTTCCAGTTCATCATTTTCCTCGTCATCTGATCTATACGATCCTTAGTAGATTTTTTAAAGAACAAATTAGTTGCATCCGTTGAATCTTACTAATATTAAAAATGTGAAAGTTTAAATGTTTGTTAATTTTTCACGCAAAAAGGCTGGATAGATTTGTATAAAATTTTGGTACAATTGTATTTTCTTTTTAATTTTATGAAAAGACCTTTAGGTCATAACTTATTTGGAAAATGTTTATTACTTTGAAGTCACTACACTTCACTTCACAGAATTTTGTCATTTAAATTGTTTGAATTGTATTTTTTTATGTAATTATAAATAGGTTTATAGGATGTAGTTTGTAGATTGACATAGCATAGGTACTTATTAACCCGGCAAAAATATTATCTATCTGAAAAAATCATATAGGTATCTATAAAAAATTTAACTATTCTTCGACTTAAAGGTTGTCTGGAAGAGATCGCTTTCAGCGATAAGACCGCCTTTACCCATCATAGTTGACTATCTGTTTTGTAAACCCTTTAATTGTGTATGTGTGAGTTATAAAGTGTTTATCTACCTATGTATCTTTAAATTAATTATGATTAAGTTATTATCTTAACAATAACATTAATATTATTAACATAGTTATCAAGGAGAAGGGCCCCCGATAAATATTTTTTATTTATCAGCGATTTTGATAAGCTATTCTAATGTTTTATTATCCCTTCTCAGCACAAGTTAATCGATGATATTAGGGCCCCGCCCTCGTCTGAGGAAGTAACTTTTATCATACAGAAGATCACAGTAAAATAAAACTAACATTTGGTGGTGTTGTCTTTTTATACCTAGTTCCACAAGGACGACAAGGTGAGGATGGCTGGATCTGTCCCCAAGCACGAACTTTGACAGCTTCGTATTTGTATCACCAACATCAGATTTTAATGCAAACAAAGTAGCGCCTCTACCGAACGTAAGAACAAACTTTTTCCATAGAAGCTTTGACATGGCGATATGAATACATTCTCGCTAGTTGTTCGTGCTTTGGGTACAGGTAGGTACAGTAGATTATTCTGTCGCATTAGATATTTCGCGAGTGGATTTCATTTATACTTGACATTAGGTGGGATGAAGTAGATAGTTAGCTGCGTCTTTTATGAAGAAATCTTTTATCGATGTCCCACTACTTTAGAAAACAATTCAAAAACTATATTTTTCTCTTCAAAAAAGTCTCCATACATACATACTTCATAACAGATATATCTGCAAAACTCAGTTTAATAGGTTCGTTTATTAGGCATACCGTTCCTATTTTTTTATACAGGTAAAATACTTGGTCGACAAACGGCCTTAGTTTTTCTTTAAAAGGAGCAGCTAAGAAGTTCGTGCCGATAGCTATAGTAAGGTTAATTGTCTATTCTACGCTCTCGTTTTCATTGTGACGTAGGCAGACCACCGAATGCAATATTCCTGTTCTTTTCTAACGCTTAGCACATAAAATAGTCTTAGAGACTATGTTAGTTCTAAGAACAGTCAAAATAAATGCATTGTGGTGAGATATAGAAAAAGCTCTCCCAGGTTGCTTTCAAAACAATACTTATTTTAAACAATCAATTGAGTGTATTATAATAATACTGAGTTTTCTAATCTAATCTAAAATCTAAAATTAAGAACGTTTTTCTTTATTTTATACAAACCTTGTAAGATACAAGAACTTAATAAATAATAATAACGATATGTATGTTTTTGGTTCATAAAATAAAAACACAACCTAAAGTTCTACGATCTAATACAAATGATACATTACCACGTAAAATCACATTGTAAAGTTTTCCGATACTCAGAATAACCTCTAGCTCTTCGAGTATTTAGCAATGACACGGCCTGCGCAAGCGTTCACGTCATTGCAGTTTTTCCTCGGCCTTTGAGTGACACACAGCCACGACAGCCGTTTGACTCATATAATAATGAAACATATTATAACCTGTTAGCTACATACGTATTTCTCCACTATACATCAGAGGCAGGTGTTGTGTTGCCGTCTGTTTTAAGGTAATTAACATTTCGTGTTTATTAATTAATATTGCTTTTACTAACGTGCTATTTATTGGTCGTCCACAACGAATGGTCATTAACGTAAATAATGGAATGTGTTTTTATGTGGGTGTTGGTAGTGTAAATTGTAATATTCTATAAGGTGATGACTATAGTTTCATGATACTAAATGTTCTTTAGTTACATCGTATATTAATTATATCGGAGTGCAGAATTCTGTCGCTTCGCGTTGGTTAATTTCACGCTCTAAATTTTACACTTGTGTCTGATTACTTCTGTGTCTAGTTGCATAAGTTTGTGTGAATATGCCTTTAATAACTGAGTCAGGAATGATAATTTTTAACACAAGCATTGTATTAAAAATGCGACGTTGCGGGTCTTGCCTGATAAAAATATAAAAAAATCCTAAAACCGGACTAAAGCGCCACCTGTCGGGTCGTGTTGTAATTTCAAGTAAGTATTCTTAAATTTGCGCAACTTCCTTATTTGTTTCTCCGTAAGAACCATCTAAAAAGTAAAAAAAACTTAAAAAAAAGTTGGATGATATCGGTAAAATCGTTCTCAAGTTATGGCGTGGCGTGACTATGGAGCGTGACGTGACCAAGGGAAATGGACATTATTTTCTATTTTAAAGACTAATGAATTGAATTTTTATTACCTTGAAATGACTACTTTTTTGGTTAGTTTGGTCGATTTAACGCCATTGTTTTTTTTAACAACTGCTTTTTTGAAGTGTTTATTACTTACCTTTATATTATTACTATACAATGGAACTAATTACTTATACTAATAAAATAAGTAATTTGGATTTTACCACTATTATACTTAAGATAGGTTTGTGTTATTAATAACATTAAGCCTAAGATCTACATCAGATAAAACTTTATTGATTAATCAATTGGAAATACTGATCGTATAGGTACATTCTTAGAATTACGTTCTTATTGTAAAGTTTGATAAATATATATTAAAACAAATTCGAACAACGAATTTGTGTGGTTGACGACTTTATCATTTTATCAATAGATAAGGTGATAGCGAACATTGTGTGATAGCACCCCGCCATTTTGTTTAATCGTAATTACGATTCGGGCGCACACAGTATTTATTTTAAAATCTTTAAGTAACCGACTTATTTCAGTTTTGGCACGTGAGTGGCGACACTGTTAGAGATTGGGGGCTGGTCACTGCGGAATAATGGGAATCTGTTTTTCTTTTGACTGTGGCGATTGCGGAGACTGCGACTGCTGCGGGCCTTGCTGTATGGCATTGGCCGCCTGTTGTTGCCTGTCTCTGTGTTGCCCGAACGCTTGTGGACAACAGCAGCAGCCGCCGCCACAGACTGTTATCGTACAGCAGCCACCAACAGTCATAGACCACGGACCTCCCCCACCGGGCGGTTACCCCGGATACCCGCAGCCGTACCCGCAACCTTACCCACAACCTTACCCACAGCCGTACCCTCAGCAATACCCGCAGCCGTACCACGGATACCCTGAAGCGAGATAAATAAACCATAAGGATTAGTTTTTAAGGTGAGTCAATGTATTTCATGTAGCGTGGACGACCATTTAATAAACTACAGATGCTGTTACTATAGCAATTGTGCATTTTAAATTGTAGAGGCACGTAGTTATTCTTTTGCATGTTAGTAATAAGTAGTCCATTTGAAGGTGGTGGAATATTATGATATCGTAGATGTAAATAGTTACAGTCATCCACAGCTCAGGTCATCTAAAACCCTCAAATTTCTTCAACTGTAGTAGATTTTCATTTTACTGAGCAAAAGTTTAACAGTACATTGGGAAAATTTAAGACTCATGATAACTGACGTGTTGTTGTCTGTATTTAATAATCAACAAATTTATTGATGGATCGAAAATTTGACCTGAGAATGATAAAGCCGATAGTGTTGTCTGTATGTTATGATCAATTAATGGTGGATGGCTACAATTTGATCTGAGAAAGTGTCTGTATTGCTAGCGGCAATAAGGTTGACATTCATAGTACTAATATACTCACTATGGCCTAACAGAAAGCTAAGCTTGCTGGAGATTAAGACGGTTAGACACCTGCGTATTATTTTTTAAATCATAATCGTTCATTTCTCTGTAGTATATAAAAATGAGGAGCTCACTTAAGTTTAATTAAACTTCACGCTAAGCAACTTTTGCAATGGACGGTCATTATTGGGTGACAAAAATTTATTATCTCGAGCGACGATTATCTGTGCTTCGGAAGGCACGTTGAGCCTTTGGTCCCGGCTGTATCTGTAATTGTTAGCACCCATCTATCTGCACTGGGCCCGTGTGGTGGGTCATCATTGCCCAATCTCCCTATTCCATCCATAGGGAAGGCCTTCCCTTTGGATGTGCCCCAGCAGTGGGGACATTAATAGGCTGGTGATGATAACGGCACTGGGCCCGCGTCGTGGGTCATGGCCCAATTTCCATATTCCATCCATTGGGAAGGCCTGTGTGGCTGGTAATGATGATGATGATAAAAAAAATATGATAAGATATCTTTCACTTCTGGAGTTAGGTTATTGGGAAAAGCTGTTATTTGTACAAGTGTTTTAAGTTAATCCATGACTTTATCTTAAGACATGAACTCATTTATCATCGTATAATCCTAATTGTATTTTTTAAAGGACGTGTATTATTTTCAAAAATGTTTTACAATATTGATGACCAGGACTTAACCTTCTGAATCTTGAGCCTTTTGAATATCATAAAACACACACCATAAAAGTCTATCTAAGCAACACATCATTTACAGAAACTGTATGTTTGATTGACTCTATTGATGCCAAATTTTTTTCTTTATTATTTTTACTATAGTAAAAATCGTTCAAAACCGTACAAAGTGTTGCGTAGGCTTTTTTGATAAGTATACTTTGGTCTAATCACATTGATATGATCTTCTATTGAATAGTTTTTTCGTTAATTTGTGATCTACGCTAAGCTCAATATACCTATAGTTCTTTTCATTGGAATATATTTATCTCAGTACTAAATGATAATAGTGAAGTGTCACTTAAGCGTAGGTATTAGTCATGGGTTTTACTAAAGGATGTGGCGCCACAATTGAGTTTAATAGGGTATTTGACAAGTTTTAGAAAACGATCTCACTTTATTGACTAATGTTTATGGAGTCCGTAAAAAGTGGATATTCATCATTCTGTTGTGTATTTCAGTAAAAATAACCAAATCAAAAACTCCATTTTCAAATTGCCGCGAACGTTTTTCTGGACAATATGGCGTCTTAATAGTGTGTGAGTTCACACGACTCTTATTAAAACGTCAAACGATACAATGTAATGTCACTTTAACCGGAAGTTTAATTGTGTGTGACGTCATTTTAGGCTCCGCCAATCCCAGGCGTTTTGGGTCACGTGACAATAGATGAGAAAACTATTATCTTTTTCGTGGATATTTAGAAAAAATATGAATATTTTCTTTTGTAAAAAACCCCTGCCAATCTGCGTTCTAAACACAGATGCTAACAATTGGCACTTTATTTTTAATACTGTCAAATACTTCCTTTACGGAAGAAAAGTGACTAATTATGTACAGTTTGGTGATGGTTTTGTGTCCATAAGATACGTAAAAGACGATAGGTGAATCATAACAATTTATGGTTCCGAACCCAAAAGGTGACTAATGACGGAACCCTTTACTATAAACCTACCCTGATCGTGTATATTTAGTAGGAGACATCTTATGAACCATGTGGTACATACAAATAGATGAAATTTTAACATAAGGTGTATTGAGGTACATGTAAGAAAATTTATATGTTCTACGTATTTTATGGTTCGAGACCTTCCATTGGTGTGTCTGCCTGGTGTTTGATCAGTTTTTAAACTAAAGCAAATCTATTTTAAAAGCAAAAATTGTTATCATGAAGTTATATGTAATTTAAATCTTTAATTATGAATAACACTTCAGAACACCTCATCCAAGTAGGTATTCATGATAAAGTTGACAAAAGATTAGTTATCATAGTGTACATATAAAATGAGCACAGCTAATGCAAAATACTCAGTTTTAAACACAATTACTAGCAGAACCTAGGTATTTCTTAGTTTAAGAAGCACGAACTTAAACAACTCAACAAGGAAGGCAGGAAAATATATGAAAACAATTATACAATTTTGTGGCAAAAAAGAACAACTTAACTGCTACCTACATATTTGAGATAAAAGGTAAAACAAATTAATCATTAAATTAATTATCTCTTGTAGGTGTAAAATTGTTTCTTGACAATGATTCATAACGGAACAACCAACGTAATTACATAGTTACGTTCTTTAGTAAAAGAACTATACGTCAAACCATTTCGGTTTAAAATCAAACGAAGATTATATTATTGATGGATAATGTGACGCTATCGACTAAACATAACCTTAATGGAAGGAAGACATTTTCTTTTAATCGTCTTTGTGTTGTTATCATATCCATATGTTATTCTTAGACATAGTTAAACAACTACAAATACTTAAGACGACTGCGTTTTTTCCTTGTTTTCAAACGTTGTGATTCTGGTAATTCGGGTTTCTTATATTATCATACTTATTTTCTCTATTTCTAATAGATGTTTCACTGTTTAACATAGGTACGATCTTTTGCATATAAAATGGTTTTTATTTTGATACAATCATCAATTTATTCTTGATCAAATTAAATATGCAACTGCCACAACATTAACAACATAATTTCAAATAAGACAATATAATCAGGGCCGGATTTAGAGGTCCAGAGGCCTCGGGGCAATAGAGGAGCGGAGGCCCCCTCACCTCAAGATTAATATAATCAAATAATGATGTATGTTAGATGTACAAAGTACTGTGGGTAAAGGTAAAAGAGCAAAAAAAAATATCAAAGGAAAAGATGTTTGCTAGTGTTGGAATTTGAAAGATTTTTTTTCTGAAGTCTCTATTGTGGGGGCCCCCGTTTGTGGAGGCCCCAGGGCTTTCGCCCCGGTTGCCCTCCCCTAAATCCGGCAGTGAATATAATGCAGATATAAAAGCTATTAACGGGATTGTTACCATGTACCTTGTTTTTTATGAGTTTCCGATATTTCGGCACTGTTGCAAGCGCCATGACCACGGAGTAACTGGAGTAATTGCAGGTAGATGTTATTGGCAGACATATCGGTCTACCCTCTATCGTCGTCTTTTATTGCGCTCGATACCATTGGTCACACACATTCTCACTATTCACTCGCACCTGTTCCCGACACACAATACTCACAGTATCAGCTCGCGGAACGACACTTTTTTGATTTTTGCGGTTTTTGCACATACGAACAAAACGAACGAAAACAAGGTACATGGTAACAATCCCGTTAATAGCTATAATGTTAGTGACCATGAAAGTTTAAAACAATATATAATGAAGATAGCTTCCAACAAAGTTCGCTATACATTGTGGTGGCCTTGTGTTCAAGACTCACATTATGTGAAAAAATTGTGGTATAAATATACAGATATAGATCGAAATAGTTAACGTAAGTGTAAATGATCTTCGCATGCTGTAAACATGCCATAAGGGAGAGCAAAGCGAGCTATTATTTATTTCTTTGCGTCGTTCTCGATACCGGGCGCGTCAATAGCATTTTCTTTAAATGTCTAATTGTGCCATAACAAGCTGGAAAATTTATAGAATTGAAAAAGGGTGGCCGGGCCCATGCTTCTCCACCATTTCATTTATTCCCGTGTGTACTTAAATATTACACACGCGGTTTTGATACAATTAGAAGCACATGCGTCTTTACTTACATCTAGGTCTGTGGTGTCATCATCATTATCAGTCTATTTATGTCTCCACTACTGCGGCACATGCCTTTCCTATGGATTTAAATATGATTAATGTGGCATAATATTAATAATACGGATAGAATACACATACACAAATACATAACCATAAATATACTCATCTAGAAAAACATATATACATCCATGACTTAGTTACAAATTCTCGTATTCATCAAACATTTGCCCCTCTGGAATTCGAGCCCGGGACCTCTGAGTAAGCCGGCAACACATTGAAACTCGTCGTATATACCACTCGGTCACAGAGATCGTCAAACATGATTAATTGATCATTCTTATACGTGCAATTTCAGAATGGGGTGTAATTTTTCCTGTCGGCCATGTTGCTGCTGCTGCATCCCGTGTCTCTGCTGTGACTGCTGCTCCGATCCTCCCCCCCGCACCAGAGTGGTGCACCATCACCACGTCACCACCGCCAGCCCCCCGACTGTTATCATCAATCAACCGCCACCACCTTACAGATAAATCTGATATGATATTTTTATCCAATTCGTGTAAATTATTCACCAACCTAATACTGGCGCTTTTACAGGAATAATTATATTCGTTTGCTGCAGTGCTATTCTGTAAGACCAAACTCATTTTTCACCGCGCCATTCACCGGAGCAACTTGAAAGTTATTTGTAGTTCGTGTTCTAATTTTAAATCACACCGTGGATACCGAAGTAAAATG